GTCTCTGAATCTCTGTTGTGTAGGCAAGGACATGCGCCAGTGACTTCAACAATCTGCGCTCTGTACTGTGGCGCACAGGGAGTACTGCCTCCTTAGGTGCAGACAGCGTAGACATATTATAAGCCTGTAGGAGCTGTGTTGCATACAGCTTAACTCCACCAATGTCTCAAGAAGCTTAATAGCTTCTTGGTCTTGTCACGACCTGGTGCTGGCTTTGGCAGTGCAACAGGGTAGCACATCCATTTGCCATAGTCTCTCCAACATCTCAAAATAGGTTTGCGTTCTGGGACTGACGGGTGGTGAAATAACACTGGTCCTCAGTCAAGTGCTCCTTAGTCAAGAGTTATTCATCTCTGGCTCACTTCCACAGCATGTCTTTTAACCTGTCTTCCTTCTTTCCTTCCCACTGTCGCCAAAGTGCTTGCTCACAGGGGGTCATATGATTGTTGGGTTTTTCTCTGTATGTATTATTGTAGCGTCTACCTTGCAATGTAAAGCGGCTTGTCTGTGTTTCATGGTGTTATAGTGTGATGATATCTGTGCTTCTTTATATGCTATGGAGTTTTTTGTTTTCTCCTCATGATGACTTCAGAAACCCTGTTTTTCTCCGGAATTTAGCCCCTATATGTTACATATCTCACTGTCTATCCCTTTTTTGCTGCCTGGCCTGACCTTTCTCCCCAATGTAAGTTGTATATTTTAGGTATTGTCTGTATGGTCAGCTGCAAGCAACTGCAACTGACAAATAAATCTTATCCTTATCATTATAGTGACTGTTGTTGTGATTTGGCCCTGTATAAATAAAAATGAATTGAATTGAATTGCTGCATTACCTCTTGAGCTGGACCTTGTAATGTCCAGCCAAGGTGCATCTTGACACCTGTAGGGCCAAGTCAGACAGGCTCTAATAGGGTGACCACATGTGTGGTCTGTAGTGCCAGATCCTTAAGATTTCTGCTTAAGGGCATTCACTGGCTGAGTGTGCTCTGCCAGCCCAAGTGTCTTGGCAGTGAGAGCGTGGTGGATTTTGAAAATCCATCCTGGGTGGAAAACAAGAGAAATGCTAAAAGAGACAGCCTCACCTTAGAGGACATGGAGATCTTGTCTCATGATTTTCAGTGGTAATTCTGCAGGCTGCCCTTTTACCCCTTCAACACTGCGGTGGTTATCTTACTGAATGACTTCTTCCTTTCCTCTCCTGTCTGAAATACTGGTTTCTTTGAGCTGAATTGTCACAATGGCCACAGGCCGATAGCTAAACTAGACTCAAATGCAGCGAACCACAACAGAGACGGCTCGTAAGTTTTACAGTGTTTTATTAAGAAAACAGATTAATTCG